GCACAGGGCGTTACCTGGGAGATATCAGGGATTGTTTTTTTTTTAAGATTTGCTTACTCTGGAGTAAGAGCCTTTGCAATCCACCTATGGGCACTGGTATGTGTCCCAGCTACTCCACTTCCCTTCCTGCTCTCTGCTTGTGGCCTGGGAAAGCAGTGGAGGATGGCCCAAAGCCTTCTGACCCCGTATCCAGGTAGGAAACCTGGAAGAAGCTCCTGGTTTCAGCTCAGCTCAGCTCTGGCAGTTGTGGTCATTTAGGGGAGTGAATCATCAGCGGGATGGGAGACTTATTCTCTGTCTCTCCTTCTCACCATAAATCTGGCTATTCAATGTAAACAAACAAATAAACATACACACACACACATATATATAGTATAGCAAGAAAAGCTTGCAAATTAGCGATTAGAGATTTTTCATCTCTAGGATCTGCATTAGCTCGGTGTATTTGCTCAGTCCACCTGAGCCCCTCCTGGTCGGTAGTTTCCCCTTTACAGACCCCGCTGTTCTGTGGTTGGGAATTGAGAGGTCTTAGGGCATGAGCCCCCTCTTCACCGTTAGCAATAAAGGACTTCCGAATCTCCATCAGTGCGTGGTCTATGTATTTTCCACTCCCTGAGTTTGGAAGCGTGTGGGCGGGGCCTTTCCTGTCTGGTTTCCAGTGTTCCCACCCACTTTTCCAAGGTTTCTGGAAGAGGTTGCTCTGACTCCTCCCTCAGCGTCTTCCTGCAGGGGGATGTTCGGTCAGCCCTGTGCTGGCCACCAGAGGGCAGCAGAGCCCTAGGTAAACCTGAGCAGCCTTGGCGTGGCCTTCTGGTAGACACTCCTGGGTCTTTTCTCTGATGCCTGCAGCTTTGGAGAATTCTAGAGCTGAGGTTTGGCGCAAAGATCTCTGCATTCCCTTTTACACGCAATCGTTTAAATGTTAAAACGTTTATGCAAAAGCAGAATGAAAGAGGCACAGTGTGTTGTGTTGTTATGCAACCTTTTTTTCCCCCCAGAACTGTGTTTCCAGGAACTTCTGGAAGAACCCTCCCATGTATTTGCTGCTCCCTCATGCTCCTCAGATCCCTGGAGCACCCCAGGGCCGCTGCTCCAACATGGCGGCCTCACTGGGCACTCAGGGGAACTTTGGGTCAGGTGTGGCTCCTGTTGGTGTTTGACCTGGGCATGTTTCTCCTGTTGCTAACCCTGTGTCAGCCCTGAGGTGAGAACAGCCAGAAGCACCTGACAGTGGAGTGAGGCAGGAAAGATGTCTTCCTCACTCAGGGGAACAGAAGCCCAGGATGTGGTGGTGGTCACTGGCAGCAGGCTGTGGCTCCAGTGGATTCCTCTGTGGTCACCTCCTGGGCTGCCTATGTGGGCCCTCTGGGACTCAGCCGTTGGCAGGTGGTGCCTGGGGAGTGTGTGTCTCCTGGGGCTCTCCATTCCAGGTATGTCAGGAATATATTTCTCTTTCTCCTCCCTGCTTTCCTCTTTTTCCTTCCTTTACACTCTCTATTTTCTTATTTCCTCCTTCTGTCTGCTTTCTCTCCTTTCTAATTTTTTATTTATACCTATTTGCTAGGCTAAATTTATTAAATTTTCTCTATGACTTTTTTATCAGAACTGATTTTTTTTCTGTGTATTAGTACAATACTATAACTTGTGATAAATGCATTCTATGAAATTAGGTTACAACATTTTTGCACCGAAGTCAATTCATCTTTTGATTCTATTTCCATGAATGTTCTGACGCCCCTTGTGCGTCTCAGGGGCTGGAGGAGAGCGGTACCTCCTCACCTCCTCTGGACTCAGGCTTGGCAGTGGGTGGGGGTCTATTCAGAGCAAGGTTGGGCAGCAGGGGTCCTAGGCCAGGAGGACTCTGTGGCTGACCTCTGGGTGGGGCGGGCAGGCCCTGGTCCTTGGGAGGGAGTGGGAGCAGAAGGCTGATTCAGAGCTGGGGTTGTATCATTGTAGGGGTGACAGCCTGGCCTGGGAGGGCTCTTCCCCATGAGGTGCAGACTGGCAGGCCCAGAAGGAGGAAGTGTCCCCTGGGCCTGTGGCCAGAAGGCTGACATGCCACAGCTCTGCTCACCGGCCAGGTTAGTGTCAGATGGAATGAAAAACTTTATAAAATGGAAAAAGAAATACCACTCAGTTGTGGGCAACGCCCGCATTGCCGCATATCCCGAGCCGAGCCGAGTGGAGGGACTAGGGTTATGAGACAGACAAAACAGACAATACACCATGGATTATTCTTGTGAAGAGAATGCCAGTTTATTCAAAGTCAAGCTGCATCTTTATAGTCTGCGTGGCCCCTCCCAGCACTTTCCCAATGCTCAAGCAACACCTAAGCTCCCCTGAGGGCATGTAAAAAGGGGAAGCAGGAAGGAGGGAATTTGCAGTCAAGCCAGGGGATAAATGTATCAGCCCAAGATTGCTCATCCTGTTACACCTTGAAAAACAAGCTAAGCTGTGAAGTTAACCCTTGGGAGACCTGGGCCTTCACTCAGTGTGTGTGTGTGTGTGTGTGTGTGTTCACATGTGAGCATGTGTCTTTTATTTTTGTTTGTTTTCGGAAAATGAGCAACGTCAAAATAGTTTTGTTTTTTCTAATATTGATTTAATTTTACTGGAAAGACGGATTTACAGAGAAGAGAGACAGGGAGAAAGATCTTCCATCAATTGACTCACTCTATCAATGGTTGTAATGGCCAGTGCTGAGCTGATCTAAAGCCAGGAGCCAGGCGCTTCCTCCACGTCTCCAGCGGGGCATCATCTTCTGCTTTCTCAGGTGCATTACCTGGGAGCTAGCTCAGAACTGGAGCAGCTGGGACTTCAGTAACCGTCCTTATGGGATGAAGGTGTCTCAGGCTGCAGCTTAATCCACTATGTCACAGCAGCTGCCCCATCTGTTGCGTTTTAAAATAGTAACATGTTTAATATACTTTGTGTTGTCTGTCATTTTATGGCTGAGACTCTTACTCAAAGCTAAGTTGAGAGTACTAGAAATACTAAGAGGTATGACCTGCCTGCTGACACGGAAGTAACATGTTAACCCTAACAATATTAGGATCATTTATATTTGAGGGGGAAATCATTGGTGCCTTAGTGCACATGGTCATGTTAGAGCTGCTGGGCCAGGGTCCTGGGGAACTGGGAGGTGTTATTGTTTTTTACTGCCTTCATTCTGCAGTTCACAGGGCTTTCTGGGTGTGTCTTACAGAAACTGCCCTGGGCTGGGTGCTTCTTCCTCTGTCTGATAAGCAGGGCAAAGGTCTGGGCTGGGCTGCAGGGTGAGAGAAGCTTCCAGGTGGTATATCAACTGGAGGCCCTCGGAATCTGTGTCCCTTTGGCAGCTCTTCCTCACTTTTTGTTGCTGGAATGTTTGCAACTGGGGCTGGGCTGGGAGGGAGAGCTGGGGAAGCTGGAGGGTGCAGTCTCCCTGCAGCTCTACCTTCTGCTTCCTCTGGGAAGTTCCTGGATCTGGACATGACAGGGCGCATGTTCTAGTCTGTCTGCTTACAGGTGTGACAAGGAGGTGGCAGGCAGCTAATGTGTGTAGCTTAGATCCTGACAGCTAATCCACACTGAGTAAAATCTAACAGCTCCTTTAGCATCTCTAGGTCTTGGGCAACCCCCTGATGGGCAGTGCAGGTGGTGACTGAGAGGAGGGGTTGAGGAGTGTTTGGAGCTGTGAGGGCTGTGCAGCTGCCACTCCCCGGGCAGCTATAGGGCTTTCCATGTCCCTGTTCATGATGAGAGCAGGGAGCAAGGTCCACAGGGTGGGTACTTCCTGCTGGGGCAGCTTTCACTTTTAATGGTGCCAGGGTCCAGAGAGACGTTGGTGCTTGTGGCTGGGAGGGTGTAGTGGTCCTGGGGTCTGGGCTCTGCAGAAGCTGCTGTAGCTGTGCCCACTGTGCTGTTCTGGTCTCCTGGGAGCCCAATGTCTCCTGGGAGTTGCTGCCCTGGGCCCAGAAGTGGACCTGGCAGAGGACCCAGTGGCTGTGAGGGCACCCCATGGCAGGTGGAAGCTTGGGGATGTGGACTGCTGGGGTCTCTGTCTGAATTTGCTGTTTAGAGACCCTGCAGGAAGTCACAGCTGTTCACACTGAGGAGCAGGTAAGCTGGGTTGAGGACACCTGTGGGGGAGGAGGAAGGCAGGGAGCAGCAGGCTGAGAGGAGGCCCAGAGTGTGAGGCAGAGGGTGGCAGGAGGGGGCGGCTAGATAAGTCTCACTTCAGGAAGACCCAGGAAAACATTGCTTATCATAGTGCCTTATGTCATTACTTTTAAATGTATTTCTGAGGTACTAGGACAAGGTCAGGTTCTAACCTCTCGTAGTGACCTTACCGATACAAAGTCCTGCAGCTCTCACAGCATGGTGGTGAGGCTGCTACCTCCTCTTTGGCAGCTGGAGGAACTAAGTCCTGGAATGCCAAGGACTGTGGCTGAAGTGGGGACACTGAGAGTGACTGAGTTGCAGGGAGTCCATCAGAGGGGCCCTTGAATCTGTCCTCTGAGGACCAAGGCTGCCCTCTCTCCTTTTTTTTACTCACAAACAGTGGGTGGCATCTTGTTCTGACAGAGGCTTGTGTCCTTGTCTCTGTGGCCTCATCACAGGGTCCTCAGATGCTCATGGAGAAATCTCCCCATGTTTAGAGTGAGGATTCTTCTGTCGGTGGAAATTGCCTGGGCACCTGTTCAATGCAGGGCATATCCTGAGGAAATGGAGGAAGGGGCTAGGCTGGGATTCCAGTTGAAGTGACGTTACAGTCCACAAGCCTGACAGGTTGTTGTGCACCTGTGATGAGCACACAGGCTCATGAGGATGAGGCTATCTCTGATGCTCCCCTGCTGTCAGGGTGCTGTGGACTGCACATGGCCTGCATGAGGATCCTGTCATCTGTGAGGGCTGATGGGGTGACCCTGGCCTCGCTGTCACCCTCTAGAAGCTGGCCCTCTGTGCTGGACCTGCCTCCTTCCTGCCCAGTGCTTCCTCCTTGCCTGTCCTCTGATGACATGGAATGTGGCAGTCGCCCCTCTCTGCTCTGCAGTCTCTCCTCCCTGCTTCTCCTGGTGCAGCTGCCCACATGGGGCTCTGCAGGTAAGTGTGTCCCAGTCTCTCCTCCTGGTCTCCCTGGGGTGGGCGGAGCCCCTGGTATTCTCTGCCAGGATGGGGTGAGGTGTGTGGCTCAAGTCTTGGTACAGAATGGCCCTCCTCAACCCTGATTGTTCTTTCTCATTTAAGAAGAGTCACTGACCATCAGGGGAGCGTGAGGGATGTTGACAAGTGTTCATGGATCTTTTTGGCTCGGCCTGTGTGTTCCCTGTTCTCAGTCCTGTGTCTGTGTCCACAGATGTGTTCCAGGTGATTGGCCCCACTGACCCCATAGTGGCAGTGTTGGGTGGTGATGCCATTCTGCCCTGCTCCCTGTGGCCAGCCATGAATGCAGAAGACATGGAGCTGCGGTGGTTCCGGTCTAAGTTCTTAGAAGCAGTGCTCGTCTATCAGAATGGCCAGGAGCTGGACGAGGAGCAGCTGCCCCAGTATGCAGGGCGGACCTCACTGGTGAGGGATTTCCTCTCTCAGGGTGAGGCTGCTGTGCACATCCAGAACATACAGGTTTCAGACAATGGCAAGTACACTTGCCTCTTCAAACAAGGAAGGCAGTATGACGAAGCCATTTTAGATCTTCAGGTGGCAGGTTGGTAACTTGATCTGTATTCTAGAAACCTTGGGGATACTGGATTTGGGAGGACATTTATGAAATTCAGCATCTCATTTCACAGTGAGGGAAAGGCAGCTGAATCATTTGCTCATCCACTGATTCAATATAAACTTTTCATGAGAAGAAATTATGTGTGTCATGCCTGGCTTTGGATACCAGGTACCCTGTGGAGTTGATGATCCAGAGCCTGAGACAGAAACAAGGAAAATAAATGAATAGTTTGATGATGTTACAAGGTAATAGGTGCTACACTTAGTTTCAACTTTGGATCCCCACCTTCTTCTGCAATGACCATCAGGGTCGCTCCGGAGCCACTCCCACTCCAATAACAAAACAAAACAATAAAATTAGGACAGACCGAGAACAACAAGGAAAGGTTAGAAGCAGACAGGAAAAGGTCAGTTGGGACTCACATATACCTTACTAGGTAGGATACAAAAATAAGTTATTCCTAGCTGGGGTATTGAAGATTTCTCTGCACACTCCTCCTAAAACTGTTCTGCGCCTCAACTGTTGACATATGCCTTGTTAGAGTTGTAAGCCAGTTTAGACTATCCTAAAATCTGCCAAGTTCAGTAAAAATTATGCTTCAGTACAATAAACTGCTAAATATAAAAATGAAAGTAGACATGAGACAGCTGAATAGTACCCTATAGCCATTTTAAGGTGTATAGCAGCCTGTTGTGTATAAGCCAAAATAGAAATGTGAATGAGGTAGTCACAGGATGTGGTTAAGAACTTGAATTTTTTAAAACATATTTGTTACTCAATATCATGTCAATTAACTGTATAATGTTGTAAACTGTTGTTAATGTTATATTATGGCTTTTTTTTTTTAATAATCTTAGTTTATTAGGGTACAAAGGGTCATGGGCTACAGGGTGAAAGTGGGTAATATCATTGTTTCCACACTAATATAATCATTTTGCCCTGTATCTAGGGTTAGGGGAGTAACAAAGGGGAAAGCCCCACCCTACCTCCCACCCATCCCCGATCCCCAACATGAGGCACTCCAAGGGTCCTGCTCATACAGTTTTGATAGTTCATCAGTTCTGGATTGCTGCCAATCTCTCCGTCCCAACCATAATGAAACCTATTCAGAGTCCACTGGCTGACAGTCTCTTGATGGTTGTGGTTCCAAGATCAGCAGTTCAGTTCAAGAAATATCCAAAGAAACTTCATCTGAGTTGATCCCAGAACTGATTCTTGAGTGAGTTTGCTAGTACAGACTCCAACACTGTTCGTCACACCAATCAGCTTATGCATATGCTGGTTGTTGCGATTGCTGGGTCCGTTCGGCTTCTAGCCTTGTCTTCCTTGTGAACCAACGGGTGCTGTAGTCCAGCTCGATTCTACCCACTTCATACTCGGTCTTCATGCAAACCAGTTGGAGCTGCAGCCTAGTTGGGGCGACTCCCCCAAACCCCTACCAGTTCTGCCCTCTACCCTGGTTCCCATGCTTGCCAGTATGCACTGCAGGCTTGTCCAGTCTGTCCCACAGCCCAATTAGCTCTCGCACACGTCGATGGACATTGAAGCCTGGTTCAACCCAACCAACCTATTATCCAGCCCATACACCCACTGGCAGGTGCCTTTCTGTCAAGCCACCCCTGCTCCTAGCCTGGGTTTCGTGCTGTCCAGTGAGGGTGGTAACCCTGAGGGAGGTGCCCACTATTTCCCTACTAGGCCACACCCACTCCCAGAGTATGGAGTCTCCAGGTGGTTTTGGCATTTGACTTGACAGAATTAGCTCCTAGTACAAGCCTCTGCCAGCTAACGCTGTGGCTAAGCCCAAACACCCCTCAACCCACTCTAATTTAAACTTGCACCAGTCAGAACAGTCAGCTCACCGTGAGGCCCACAGGTGCTATAGCCCTGCCTAGTCTGAACTGCCCCCATCCGTATTCACACTTTCCAATGGAAGTAGTTATCCAGCAGGGGTGCCCACATTCCCCTGTTGGCTTTGCCTCCTCCCTGATTGTCACATGTGCTGTTTGTGTGCTGCAGCCACCTCTGGTACGGCTCATCTCACCTTGGCATTACTTGTGTACTGGTATGAGTTGCAAGCGAACCTGGCTCGACCCACACTCTGTTCTGGTGCTTGGATTCACCAGAAGGTAATGTGAACAGATTCAGGCTGGTCTGCCCCCAACCCATGCCATGTGTATGCGAGTGGGATAATTTTCATTGCCTGTTCTGGGTTGTTCCCTATTGTGCTTCTTGCGCTTACCTGCATGGGACTGTGTCCTGCCAGAGAAGTTGCCCAGGCTCCTCCACCAGAACCTCTCCCAATGCCAGTTTTCGCGCATACCAGTGGGTCCATGAGCCAGCACTACTCAGTTTGCCTGCTATCCTAGGAGGAACAGTGGCTTTTCCTGCCTGGCCTCCGACCCAAGCTGGTTCTTGTTGTTGGATATTTCAACCCAGCCATGGCTCTTCCATACCCCTACCCAGCTCACACATGGTTCAGTAAGGGCTGAGACCTAACCTAGTCTGTCACACAACCCTCCCCGGTCCTCCAGAGCACCAGATGGTGTTGGAATTTGGCCTGGCTTGGTGCTTCCCATCCCAGTCCACAATTGTGCCAAGTGAGATTATGATCGTATCCTGATCAGAATGTAGCCTCAGTTCCAGTCCATGCGCTCCTTGGTGGGAAACTCAACCCAGCTAGGGTGTCCCATTATTTCCCCAACCGGGCCTCTGCCCTGCCATAGAGCAGGTGTAGGTCGGTGGTTGTTCTGTCTCCGCTTGGCAGAGCCCCTCACTTGTCCTGGCCCCTTGGATGCTGTGGCTTAGTGCCTATGCCTCACACAGATCAGTATGTGCAAGGACCTACCTGGCATGAGCTGTGCTCCAACCTGATTTCTGTTGTAACTTGTGAGTTAAGGTTTGTTCAGCCCTGCCCATTCTGCTCCCTTCCAGTGGCAGCCCGGCCCCCATCCCCCACATCCTGTTTAAAGATGCACATTTGGGTGCTGCTGCCTTGACCTACCCTGACTGTTGTGGATCCCTTTACCCATGAGTGATGGCAGATGGCGTGGTCACACCTAGCTTAGACCATTGCAAACCCAGCTTGAGAACTAACCCGGGGGACTTGTATTCCAAAGGGTTGGGCCCACACAACCCCACAGAGTCTACCCCCAGCCCAACTTCTCTTGATTGCTGGATAGTGTCTTGATCCTGCCAAATGTGACCACTCCACAACTCCAACACTCAGTCGGGCAATGGTACCCAACACTGCCAAAGAGGCCCCCATCCATAGCTTCGGTGTGGGCTAGTATGTGGTGATCAGTGATGTTCTATACTAATATCCCATCTCTGTATTCATAATTGAGCTGTTGCATCTGTCTTACTAAAATTATCTTCTGGACACTTCCCCCAAACCACTAGGTCTTGGTCCCCTTGCCTGCTTAAATCTTTCATGACCCTGTCACTGAGAATACCCGAAAATTCACTTTGCACCTACACTCAACCTAGTCTTAGTCATGAGTGACCCCAGGCAGCAACTACATATCTTGAAAACCCCAGAGTTCGCCCTTCTGGGCGGCCAGCAGGCAATGCCTGGCACCATTTGGTGCACTGGCCGTCCTGGGGGAGGCCGAAGACTCTTTCACTGCCTTGTGGCAGTGTCTTTGGCGTGAGTCCCCCGCATTGGGTCCGACCCGGCAGGGGCACCCCCCACAGTCGCCACACTGCAGGGAGCGTCAGTTGCCCCTCTTATGGCTTTTAATTGGTCGGGACGCTATTCTGCCAGCTCTGCTTTTAGACCAGAGATGGTCTCCCCAAGAAACCGTTGAATTTATCTGGACAATAAGATGCTGGACTCTATGCATGGTACAACTTGCAATGAGATAAGCATGACTTGATTTGAACTGCAATACTGCAACAAGGTGGAGGAATCCACCATGGGGGAAGGGTATGGGGAGCGGTTGGGGGAATCCCAGAGCCTATGAAACAGTGTCATAAAATGAAATGTAATTAAAAAAAAAAAAAGAAGGTAATAGGACATCAAATGGAGGGAATCTGGCTGTGGGCAGTGGAGCGAGGGCATCCTGTGGTTCAGATGAGGCCTCAGTGTTGATCTGAGCATGGCTCAAAGGAAGTGGCTATCTCTCTAACTGGATATTTGGGTGAGGGGGGCATAACAAACTTCAAAGTAGTGAGGCATTCAGTGTGAAATCTTCGGTGCAGGAGATGTCTGGTGTGCTCTGGCATACAGGAGGCCATTGTGTTGTGTGGGTAGAAGTAATGATGGGGGATGGCAATGTGACAATGTACAGTGATAATATTGCAACGAAGAGCTAGGTAACCTGGAGTAGCAGTGCCCACTGACCAGGAGAAAAGATCATTTGTCACAGGCACTTGTTTTGACACACAAGCACTGCAGTAAAAATCCCAGGATCCTCTATGGATTGAAAGTGAGAAGGCAGAGACATGTATCTCACTATGTCCACAGACATCCACAGTAATTCAAAGTGTCCTTGTGACAGTGTGTGTGGGTCCTGTGGAGCAGATTGTGGGTTCAGAGAGGGAGGCAGAGGGAAGGGGTTTCAAGTGTGAGGCAGATGTCAGATGGCTGCAGCTGTGTGTGCTGTGCTGGAAGTGTGGATGAAGAGCAGGGAAATTTGGACAGATTAGTGGATGGAAGACTCCATTTGATTGGTGTGAGGAAGTGAATGGAAAGTGAGCGAGGGTGGCATGGAGGGCAGTCTGGGGTGGAGAGGACCAGTGTGTGACCTCAGGCAGCAGCATGTGCTGGGAGAGCAGGTGTCAGCCAGGGGGGATGTTTAATAGCCTGACCTAACTCATGAGTTCATTGCAGACACAGAGTTCAGAGGAGGAGGTGGGGACTGCATAGACTGTGAGGGTTTGCCCTGGCTGCTTGTTCTTAGTGGTGGGGATATTGGTGATTATGTGTCAAAGAAGCTTCCTATGATAATACTGTGTGAGGAACAGCCAGGAATCTCAGTGGCATATTACAGAATTCAATATAGGCACTGAGGGATTTAAACAACATGAGTTGGGCTTGGCTAAAATCATTTGTGTAACTTACACATTGTTGGTCTGGTTGTGGAAGTGATATCAAAACCATGGTTGTTTCCAAGAAATCCTGCCAGCAAAGGTACTAGAGGAAGACAACACTTTGCTGAGAATCAAACCTGAACACATTGCACAGTACAGGAACTCCATCAAGGCTTGAAAGAGAGCAAGAAAGCTTTCATTTTTTTAATTTTAATTTTTTTGAGTGTGTATGTGTAGACAAGCAGGTACAATATGCACTCCATGCCTTAACACAAGTTCTATTTGGCTTTCTCCATCTGAGTCTTTGTTTGACACAATGGCACCCAAGGACAAATTGGGCGTGAGAAGGAAGAAGTAGATACATTAAAGGAATAGAGAGACCCTGGAGTGTACCAGCCATCATGCTGAGGGCCAACTCTGTTTATTGTCTTGTGACCTTGGTCTTCTTGTCAGTCTCATTTTGGGCCTGGAGGGCCCTGGGCTGCAGTCTGTCAGTGTCCAGGGGCAGCACAGCTCTCTGTGATCTCACAAAGACCAGTGACCTTCTCTGAGTATGTGTCCTTGATGTGTGGTGATGTGGGCCTCTGCACGGTCCAGGATGGAACCCACTGAGAGTCATTGTGCAGATGCTCAGCTGCCTCTTCCTCTACTCCAGCTGCTACTCCTCTACTCTCCCTCTACTACCTCTGAATTTGGCCATTACCTCGTGTGGGTGAATGTGATGGATCCCTGGTTCATGGCTGGCACAGATTCCCTAGCACTAAAGCTTAATGAAAACCTGCAGCGCCAACAGGAACTGTGACAGATAGGATGATTGTAGCCACTGATGCAGCCACAGGCTGCTGGGCCCTTGGTGTCTCTTATCAGGTTATCCTGCTTCTGTTTCTGAAGCAATGAGGGCCTAATGCTGGGGTTCTAAAGCAGTCAGAAGTATCGATTTTTGAATAAATGGCTGAGAATGTTCTCATCAGGAGGAAGCTGGATTAGAAGCTTGGGGAACTCGAACCCAGCACTCAGATAGGGATGTGGGCATTCCCAGCATTACTTTACCTGCTGTAACAAACAACCTCATACACCGTTTTAAAAACAAATAACAACTTATAATCCCATTATAAGTCTTGAGGCACTAACTTTCATGTGTAATTCACTTGAAATTTACCTGGTAATTGTAATGGCTAATTGCTTTTATCTTGAGGCAATCTCAACTTCTTCCATTCTATACTAGCAGGTGGTTTTTCAATTTAGTGAGGCCCTGATGCTTTCAAAGAAATGGGTAGAAGGGAGCTGAATCCTGTGATGGTGCCATTTCAGCATGCTGTCTCCTGGGCAGTGAAAGACATTCCTGAGTTATTTAGCCATCGAAAGGCCTGTTTATTTTGTAAAATGATACCTTCATATTCCATACAAGGAGAGGTACTTACAGTTCCCAGTGATCAGAAGTGAACGGTTGCAGAAAAAAAGAGGAGAGGGGAATTTCTCATCTTATTTACAACAGGGAGACTGAAATCTTACTCTAAGTGCTGTTTGTCCTGTCCATCAGCTGAAGAGGTCACTGAAGAGGCTCTGTGTGCTCCCGTTTCTGTTGGTCAGATGACTGTTGGCTCTCCTAGGGCATCCTCAACCAGAGCGCCTGGGTGACCAGTGACATCCCAACAGTCCTGTCCTCCAGGGCCTCTGCCAGGGATGTCGTTCTTGTGGAAATGGCTGAGAGTAAACCAATAACACAAGAACATTCCCATCCTGTGCTTAAGCCACATTATCTAGTTTTTCATTGGCCAAACTGAGTGACATGATGAATTACTAAGTGTTAATCAATTACAAAGCACATGGCAAAGCACTAGCTCAGCATAAAGAATGATAAAGTTTAAGAGGCACTTTATAATTAATTGATCTCTATTATGTCAAAATTGTGAATTCAGTGCTGAGTGTTTGAGTTTCAAATGTTTGTAAGGCAATTGGTTGAGATAACACACAGATACATGGATATAAGCAAGGGAGCTGGGGAGAGGGGACAGCCTGACGTGACTGAAATTAATTGGTGTGGTTTTGCAAGCAATTTCCAAGAGGCAGTGTGTGTAGTAGCAGATGTCTAGGAGAGCATCAAGTGAGAAGATTAGAGAATCAAGGAAGAATCCTGGGACCCAATACCTTCTGTTACCTAGGACCCTCAGTCATAAATGCCCCCTCAGCCTGTGACTTCCAGGGTCCTAGGGCTCTTGGCCTCCTCCAGGGCATGCCATTCCTATGGGGTCTCCAGAATGCAGTATGCATGGCTGCAACTGAAGTTGGGCAACACTGGAACCTTGATGAAACCATGGGTTCCTTATGGCTCTCCAAGACCTCCACAGCTCCCCTCTTGCAGGCCTGGGCTCTGCCCCACAAGTGCACATTGAAGGGCCAGAGAAGGACGGAGTCCGTGTAGTGTGCAAGGCCTCAGGGTGGTTCCCAAAGCCCCAGGTGCAGTGGAGAGATGTCCGTGGAGAGAAGTTCCCGGAGTTCTCTGAGACCCACACCCAAGATGCAGCAGGGCTGTTCAGCGTGGAGGCTGCTGTGGTGGTGAGAGACAACTCTGCAGGGGATGTGACCTGCTCCATTCTCAATCCCTTCCTGGGCCAGGAGAAGGTCATGGCCATTCCCATCCCAGGTCAGTGCTGTCTGTTCTTTCCCAGCAGAGTTGGAGAGGGTGGTGTCCCTGGGTGTGCTGGGTGGGTCAGGAGGTATACCTCTGACTGTGTGTCCCACTGGGCACAGAGCCCTTCTTCCCTCAGGCCTCTCCCGGGAAGGCAGCTTTTGTTGTAAGCCTGACTGTGCTGGGGCTGCTACTTGTTGGAGCTGGCTGGGTCACCAAGAGAGAGCATTCTGCAAAGGTGCAGGAGAGGCAGAGACAGAAGGATCTGTGCCGGGCTAAGGAGGAGCAGCAGCACGCGAAGGAGGAGGCTCTGAAGTCCAGAGGTAGGGAGGAAGGTTTCAGAAGGGCAGGGGCAGCACTTGGTGCATAGAGGGGACAGCCTAACATGACTGGAGTCCATGGGTGCAGCTCTCAGAGTACATCCAGGACCTCACTCAGCCCAGAGCAGGTGGTTGTGGAGACTCAGAGCAGAGCTGGGGATGTGGAGGTGTGGTTGTTCTGGAGTGAGAGCTGTGTATAGCACAGAGCAGAGGGCTTTCCTGTGGGGTCTTCAGCACATGGTCTCTGGTCTTCCTGGTGTGGAGTACACGGTGTTTCTACTCTCTTTCAGATGAGCTCCAGGCAGAACTCGGTAAGCTCTGCTCTCCCTCGTGAGCTCTGTGTTTGCTGGAGAGAATCCTGTGGCTCTCAGCTCACCTGTTCCCTGTGTGGTGCTTTTCAGGTCGGAGGAAGGCAGCATTCCGGGCTGGTGAGTGACTTTGTAGATGTTCTGTGGTTTCCTGTCCCAGCCCTGCCCGGCTGTCCCCTCTCCTTGTTTCTGTCCTGGCACAGGCAGCAGGGGCAGTGGTGGTAGTGGGTGGCTAATCCTGGCTCAGTATGTTTTTCCATCTGTGCAGCTGTTTCCCATCTCTCTTTAACCCCAGGGGGTTAAACTTGGCCAAGGATTTTGTCCTACCACCTGGGTTTTATTCTAACTCTGTCCTTTCCCTCACATGAGTATTGTTACTATGTTATCCTGCAATGCACCAAACTTGGGTCTGCATCAGGAAGCCCAAAACAGATGTTCTAGGTTCATGGGAGGTGGGATATGAGTAAACGGCACACTGGGCTTGGGAGTGTGACCTGCTTCCTTCTCAATGTACCACCAGGGGGAGGCATTTCTGTTCTGCACAGGTGCAAGTGGGACTGGACTAGCAGAGGACAGGGCTGCTGACCAGGTGCAGAGAGTCACAGGAGGAAATGATTCTTTGTGAGAGTAGTGGTGTTTCTCTCTATCTCTCCATGTTTGTCTTTATAAATATGTTTAACATTTACTTCATATTTTGAAATGTGTAATGTGCGGTGTGAAATTCACAGAGACAGGTATTCCAGCTGCTAGTTCATTTTCTAGTTCTGATTGATGGAAAAGCCAGGGACCAGGAGCTTCTTGGGTCTCCTATGTGGTTGCAGGGCCCAGGCACTTTGCCCTGTCTTTTCTGCCTTCCAAGGTGGAGTAGCAGGGATCTGGATCAGAAGTGGCTCTGCTGAGATTTGAATTTGCACCCATATTGGAATGCCGTGCCGTAGGTGATGGCTTAGCCTGATACACCACACTGAAAGCACATTTTCTCTTTTTGTGTTTTGTTTTTCAATTTTTACTTTCTGGAAATGATAATAAGTAATAAGTAATTGTCATACATATAGAGTCAATTATAATTTTCACTAAATATTTGGTGATGTACTGTTTTTTTCGGACAACCAACGCCGAGGGACACATGACACAGGAGTCTCTGTGTCCTGAGGCTCAGGCAGCAATTTTATAATAAAAGTCACACAGCAATGTGTCAGAGCAGGCTTCCTGATCTGTGGCCAGGAACTTCCCACAGTCCTCTGCTATCTGACAGTGCAGGAGGCCACTCCTCTGCAGCCTCCCTCCCCTGCTGTCTCTCCCCTCAGCACAGAGGGCAGGTGGGGGCTGAGCAGGTGGTGGCTGTGGTCTCACAGATGTGTTTCCTTTCAGCTGGGAGGAAGGCGCAGCTGTATGCTGGTAAGTGAGCTGGTGGTTCCTCTGCCTCCCCTCCCTCTGCCCTTCCCTGCCCCTCCTCTATGTGTGGACTTTCCCCAGCATGGGAAGGTATTCCTGCTTTCCCTGTCCCTGTTGTGGCCCCCATGCAGGGACTCCTCCTCGGGAGCACAGCTCTGCTTCCATTCTGGGCTCTCCCTCTCCTGAAGGTCACTGTTAGGGACACCCTCTGCAGGACTTTGTTCAGCTGGTTTTCTCATTGTGGTGGTGACCACGGGGAGAGAGTAGCAGGGTGACAGCTGTTCAGATCAAGAATTGCTGGTCTCTAGAAGATGCTGGAAACCACATTCACCTGCTTTGATCTCAGATGTCAGTAAGAGGGTTGTTAGTTCTATGATCTTCTTATCCCCAAATACCTACACTGTAAGTACCACGTTTGTTTCCCCATGTCTTCCTGGTCTTCTGGGATGCTGCTGTCTTTGTTTTGTGCTCTGACCACTGTCCAAGCTGCGTGTCTCCCTCTACACATCCTTGGTTGCTGAGGAATGAGTTACTCTGAGTACATGTTCTTAATCCTGGAAACCCTCCAGGGTATTTGTGGATGGATTTCTGAGTTGGTGTGTATGAAACATCTGAAATTATTGCATCATTCTGAGTATTGCTTGACAGGGAGACAGGCAGAGTGAGAATGAGAGGCAGAGGAAGAGAAAGACAAGAGATTCCATGTCTAGTTTTCTCCCCATCTGCCGTCAACAGCCAGTGCTTGGCCAGCTCAAAGCTGCTGGTTGGGCACTCCTTCAGGTTTCCCATGTGATGTCAGCATCTCCCCTGCTCAGTGCTGCCTCTCAAGAGTGTCTTTAGTCAATAGAAGCAGGAGTCAGTTGTTGGAGTTGGGAATTGAACCAAACATTTCAGTGGCAGTAGTGTCTTAACTGCTACTATAGTACTAGTAGAGTCTACTAAGTACTAGACCCTGTGAATGAAAACAATTCTTGTTTGGGAGGGAGAGAAAGTGAGAAGGGACACACACTCTTACTTATTTATTGTTGCATTGTCTGCAGTGGCCAGGGTAGTGTCAGGGCTGTGCTGGGATGAAATCTATGAGTGTGCAACTCATTCTTGGTCTCCAATATGGGTGTCAGGGATCCACTTACCTGATCTGTCATGTGCTGCCTCCCATGGCGTTCACTGATAAAAAGATGTAATTGGGAGTTGGAGTTGGATCTGATCATCAAACCCAAGCACTCAGATTTGGAATGTGACCTGTTACCAGTGCCTTTATTGTGATCCGTGGGGCCAAATACCTGTCCACAATTAGGTGCTTAAAAAAAAAACAAGAACAAAATTTTAATATGAGATTTCTCACGTCACTTTGAAATGCTTTTGGATAATTCTGTTTGTGTAAGGATTCATGCCCTTGTTCAGTTTTGTTTATGGGCAATATAGGATGAGTGGAAAAAGAGAATGGTAGAAGATTGAAATTACTTACCAGAGAAAGACAAGTAAAACAACAACAACAAACTCTGGAGGAACAGGTTCTGTGGGGAGGCGAGGAGGAGATAAGTTAGGCAGCAAAGAAACACCTGGGAGTGATGCTGTCAGAGGTTCTGGGTGGTTCAGAGGGACCGATGTGGGCTGAGGGTCACAGCATGGTTTTGCAATCTAGGAAGGTTACAGAGGTCTTAGGGAGTAGGTAGGGAATATGATTGTCTCCAAGACATCTCCTTGACAAATTTAGGTGAAATCCTGAAATTAAAATAAAAGTAAGTTTCTTTGGACAGAGGGAGAGCATGCATTTGCTTTATTCCCTGTTTGACTCCTTGAATCTCTTTGATTGTGGATCAGGGACAGAGCCAGGGTAAGAACTCATTCCAGGTTTCCTTCCTGAGTGTCAGGAATCCAATTACATGGACCGTCATTGGTGCCTCCCAGAATCTTCAACAGAAGGAAGTCAGAGTCAGGGGCTGACACCGGGAATTGAACCAGGCACCATGAGGTGGATGTGGGCATCTCAGTGGCTGGACTAAAGGCCAGCTGCTTATTCTGATATATATTTTTCAAAGATTTACTTTTTATATTCAAAGTCAGATATACAGAGAGGGGAGAGACAGACAGTATCCAATGGATACTGTCCTGTATCCAATGGATCACTCCCCAAGTACTGCAATGGTTTTGCTGAGCCAATCCGAAGCCAGGAGCAAGAACTTCCTCTAGGTCTCCTATGTTGGTACAGGAACCCGAGGCTTTGGCCCTTTCTTGAATGTGCTCCTAAGTCACAGGCAGGGAGCTGGATGGGCAGCTGGACTGCAGGGATAGATCTGGCACCGGTATGGGAGTCTGGTGCATTTATGGCAGGACTTAAATCTAGGAACATGGTAAATTTCTCCGTTCTTTAAGGTTTCCTTCTATTGCATTTATCAGCACTTTGCAATTTTCATCATGGAGGTCTTTCATGCCTTTTGTTAGGTTTATTTCAAGGTATTTAAGGTTCCCCTCTGCTATTTTTTTTTAAAGATTTATTTATTTTTATTTCAAAGTCAGATATACAGAGAGGAGGAAAGACAGAGAGGAAGATCTTCCATCTGGTGACTCACTCCCCAAGTGAGCGCAACGGCCAGTGCTGTGCTGATCTTTAACCAGGATCCAGAAACTTCTTTCCGGGTCTCCCACACCGGTACAGGGTTCCAAAGCTTTGCCCCGTCCTTGACTGCTTTCCCAGGCCACAAGCAGGGAGTGGGATGGGAAGTGGAGCTGTTGGGATTAGAACCGGCGCCCATATGGGATTCTGGCACTTTCAAGGTGAGGTCTTTAGCCGCTAGGCCACGCCGCCGGACCCCTTCTATGTTATTTTTATAGTTATTTATTTTTTTTTGGAAAGTCAGATACAGAGAGGAGGAGAGACAGACAGAAGATCTTCCATCCACTGATTAACTCCCCACATGGCTGCAATGACTGGAGCTGAGCCTATCATAAGCCAGGAGCCAGCGGCTTGTTCCAGGTCTCCCACAGGGATCCAGGGTCCCAAGTCTTTGGATAATGCTTGACTGCTCTCGCAGGCCACAAGCAGGGAGCTGGAAGGGAAGTGGAGCAGTCGGGATTATAAGTGGTGCCTATATGGGATCCTAGCGTTTCCAAGGTGGGGACTTTAACCATTAGGCTATTGTGCTGGACCCCTCTCTGCTATTTTATAGAAGACTCTACTTACAAATTCTTTCTCTGTCATGGAGTTATCTGTGTATACTAAGGAAATCGATTTATGTTCATTAAGTTTGTATTCTTGTACCTTGTCAAATTTGTTATGAGTTTCAATAGTCTCTTGATTGAGTCTTTTGGTCCTCTTTTGTATAGAATCATGTCATGTGTGAGCAGTGATAACTTTAATTTCTCACTACTGATTTGTATTCCTTTAGTTTCTTTTTTTTCCTATTAGCTCTAGCTAGGATTTCCCAATACTATGTTTAATAGCAATGGTGAAAGTGAAAGTGGACATCCTTGTCTAGTTGTAGCTCTTAGTGGAAAATCTTCCATTCTTTCCCCATTCAGTGTGATGTCTTTTTAGATATTGCACTGATTATGTTCTAGAATCTTCTTTCTATACCTATTTTGCATGGGGATTTTAGCATGAATGGGTGTTGGATTTTATCACATGTCTTTTTTTTTTAAGTTTTATCCATTTTGTTTTGAAGGATGGATATATAGAGAGAAGGAGAGACACAGAGGAAGATCCTCCGTCTGATGACTCACTC